TATTGTTAGTAATTGTTAGTAAACTTACCTCTGGATTATGGTAGCCTTATTCCTGTGGATACACAGAATACATACAGAAAATCAAAAGAAATTTTAACACTAAGTCATAGCTATTCCTAGTGGTATACCTAATCTACCCCCTGAGTTATCTCCCTTCATCCTGTATTGCCACGCTGGTGCCACTAGATAAACTAGACAGTCGTGTTGTTGATTTTCTGTATGTATTCTGTGTATCCACAGGAATAAGGCTACCATAATCCAGAGGGAATGTTTACGTCATAATTCCTGGTTTTCAGCAACTCATGCTTGTCCTAAGACTAGTAAGAGGCGACTAATGTGATTGGGTCGTAAGACTTGTTGACTTGGTTGGTGCATGTCATTGCATCCAAATCATGTAGATCGATGCTCATGATGTCAATCACTGGACTGCCAGGTCCAGATTTGTTATTTACAGACCACCTTCATATAACTGGAAAATTGCTGAACGTGGCATTAAACAACAAACAAACAAATGACAAAACTCACATTTGTTAATTCAATATTAATCATGTGCAACCGCCTAATGAAAACAACTGTTGTATTTCCATAATACCGGTACACACCAGGGGGTGGAAATAACTTTAAAATTGATAGTGTACTCCGGTACAGTGGCACATGTAATGTCACTTGCCCTGATAATTTTTCCACTATACCGACCGTTTTCTTGCTGATTTTTTAAATAAACAACATAATTAACATTGGAAAGTCAACTGGACACCGGTACAGTGTGATATACAAATTTGCTTGCCTGACAGAAAAAAACACTGGACTCGGACGTCGGGCAATGGGTTATTTCCACCCCTGCACACTTCACGTTATATATCATGATGAATTGAGCTGGCATTTACCTAGGTTGTTCGACAAAGTACCAGTTTCAGGCAAACAGGAAAAACTTGTTATTTCAGGCAAAATGTGATCTTATTAAAAAGTGGTTGTGTTCCTGTAGTCAGTGTAACATATAATTTAATCATGGTATTCAATGCAACAACAGTAACGAATCATGAACTTCGTCTATATGGGTTATCAGTGAAATCCAAGTCTCCTCTTCAAAACATTCTTTTAAGTTTATCATGTTTATATGACAACATGGGAAATATTTCATTCCAATTTTGGATTTTTACTGACATTCAACTAGTGGTATGATTAATTGAGCTAATCGAAGATTGGTCACAATGACTAAACGACCAAGCAATCGATCATGTTTTCTCATAATCGAACACAAACAATTTTGGAACACTTCTTGAATAAGAAGAATAAAAAGAAGATGTAACCCAGAAAAAATCTCTATGTTCATCCTTTAACATGTTTAAAGATGTGAAATTTGCAAATGCATATTGTGCAATTTGCAAAAAACTCGAAAAATCTGCATCTTTTCTTTCTATATTTTTGGTGCATTAACAAACATAACCAGGAAAATTTGATAAATGACGCTAACCAATTATTTTCGAGGTGGATCAGTTGTAATGAACCAATCATCAATTATAAGATTTGAACCAATGCCCACACTACATTAAGCACAGACTTGGGGCATTGTAGCAAGTCCCGATAAATCCCTGTCATATTCCGGTCAGGTCAACATTCATCAAGGACACAAAGCTTTGACTCCTGCACACATTGAGTATGTATATTTACCATGTTTACCATACATACCAAATACAAACTTTTATCTAGGATGAGTTATAAAGCAGTTCAAGCCCAATGACCATTGTCATCAGACAGGATGGGAGAGAGGGTTATTAGTACATGTATAACATTGCTCGGTTGGTATTAAACCGCTGGATCACATTTGCTTGGCTGTTTCAGGAATTAGCTTAATAGCTTGCGACATAAATCAAGAGACATATAATCCGTAATTGCTCATAGCTTGTAAGTTATTGTCTACTTCATGATGTTGATGGTGATCTGTGAGCACTGATTATAAGTATGAGCACTACATGCAACAAATGGGAGGCTTCCTATGAGTGAGTGGGTTTAGTTTTACGCCACTTTTAGCAATATTCCAGCAATATCACGGCAGGGAACACCAGAAATGGGCTTCACATTGAAATACAATATGTTTACCAGTACACAACCCCAACATTTTTCCTAGGATATGTTTTATGGTAATCTCAGTTAAATACATGTATTATACAATTTTAAGACCAACGGATATCAAAACTCTTTTTTGGTTACAGTGGTTACACTGACTGACTGACTGAGTTTAGTTTTACTCCGCTTTTAGCAATATTCCAGCAACATCATGGCGGGGGACACCAGAAATGGGCTTCACACAATCAGTGGTTACAATACAAATAGTAAAAGCAAGACATGTGAAATGGACACAAGGTTTCATTTGCATTGAATTACTTCACAACCTATTGGAATCACTGACCACTCAGTAATTTATGAATTCAATCTGTCTGCATATACTACAAAAATATTATTGCAGGGTTTTACACAGACTTTTAAAAATGGGAGTCATGGTGACTCACAATATTTATTTTGGGAGTCATTTTCAATATTTGGGAGTCATGAACATTTAATATTTCTTTGTGTTTATCATTCTCAGTATGTAACTGTGTATGTCACACCACCAAATGAAACTACAGCATTGTTCAATTCAAGCAGCCAGGATTACTGTCTCCTCTGAGTTCTCTGGAACAATCTGACAGCTCTGTAAAAGTCAAACTATCATCGAACAATATCATTTTTTGCTTATCAAATCAATTTTATTGAACTGAATTGTGAGGCCCACCTATAAAACCTGCGTCAAGCTTGACTCGTATGATAACTAATTTGAAAGTCATTAACAAAATTGTTGCGTCAAATACGCAGGAATCATGCGTCATGTAAAACGCTGTTATTGCTGCCTTGGACAAATGTTGGACACACACAATGACACATATATGTACAGTTAAGAAATGTTTGATCAACTGCAGTATTATTTTGCCCTGAACTAATATAGTGAAAGTGTGAGGATGACATAATTCCTGGGGCAACAGTGTCACTGTCAGCCTCCGATAACTTTAATGCTGCTGTGGTATGTATAATACAGTAGTTTTAATATTTTTAGATAACTAAATGTTTCGGTTTTTGGTTTTGTTGTTTAAAGCTGCACTCAGCAATATTCCAGCTATATGGTGATGGTCTGAAAATAATCAAGCCTGGACCAAACAATCCAGTGATTAACATCATGAGCATTGGGAAAAGCTCAACGATGTCAGTGAGCCTGTCAGTGATCCCGTTAATGCCTCTTATGACAAGCATGGATTGCAAAAGACCAATTCTAATCCGGATCTTCATGGTTTAGGATATCTTAGTGGCAGGAGAGACTGTCAAACTCATCTTGGCATATTTCTTACCAGGTAGTAATGATAATAGTATTCAACAAGTTTAAAGTAACTGTTCCACTGATCCATACAGCACAATAATGACTGAACAATGTTACTACATGTATACATATCTTGAATCAATAGTCAGGTAATATCACCAATTACATGTTAGTCACAGCATGGCCATGAAAGGCATGTGGTAGGGATGCCACGATACATCAATGCATCGATACTTTTTCTAAGACGATACAATTATCGATACATTCAAAACTGTATCGATATTTAGTTTTAAAGTATCGGTTAAATATGATTATGTATCATTTACATTTTGCAAATTGTATCATGTTTTTTTATGTTATGAGAGTTATAAATGATTTTTTATGCACAAAGATGGGAAATTAGAACTTTTTAATCTCTGAGAGTATAAAATGTTGATCTTTTCATGGACACTTATAATATATGAAATATTAATGTTCAAAATGTAACTAAATTTACACAATAATGCCACAAAAATATGTATCATCACGATAAGTATCGAATAGTGACATGAGTATCATGATACGCATCAATTCATGAAACTTATGTATCATGACATCCCTGGCATGTGGTCATGTCCTCTAAATACTTAAAGCTGAGGTCACCCTGCACCTCGAACTGCTGATTACAACAGAGTGCAGACTAAGACATACATCAGATGGTGACTTGTCCGTGATATGAGTCTGCAAGGTGTCAACTGAGTGATTATGCCCTTTTTAACAATATTCCAGCAATATCACGGCAGGTGGCACCAAAAATCAGCTTCACACTCCGTACTCATGTGGAGAATCGAACCCAGGTCTTCGGTGTGATGAGCGGATGCTTTAACCACTAGGCTACCCCACCACCCCTTATAGTATCAATATAAATAATCCCCAGTCGTATGAAGCCAATCACTCTCCTACCCAGAGCTCCCTGCGCCTAGCCTAGTACCTCTGCCACATTGTCACAACTCACTCAACAGTTGACATGCTGTCCCTTTCACTATCTCTTTTAGCACAATGTTTCATAAACTTGTTCCTTATGAAAGCACATTTCACACACCACATATCATAAAGTAATCTGAACATTCATACATGTCATATGCCGATTCATTTTAGGTTTATGCTACTGATTTAAACAGTATTACCTCCCCTTTAAAATGAAACTAAGCTTAGCACGTTTATCAATATAGAATCATACCAGTAATAGTGCAAGTCATTCAATGAAGTTCAGTACCTATGGTACTAGAGAAATGCTACTCGTGCTGACAACACTGTTTTGAGAACATTTCGAATTGTATGAGCATTCTTGACTTGCCACTAACATCTATTTTTATCACAACACATTCACGATTATTGGATCATGAGTTCGTGCCATCACATAAACACCGTCAAATATTATACAAGAGGTTCACGTGAATATATTACAATTTACACAAACGAACTTATGTGAAACCCAAACAAACACTCACGTGTTGTCACAGGAATCGAAAGCATATGATTTCAAGGAATTCAGCGAAGATCAATTTTCGCAATAATTTTGCAAATTTATTCTGATTTTATGATGACCAGTTTTCCGTGTTTTGGCTGACTTCCCATCCAAAACATGTATCATAACGAGAACCAATCTCACCTCTGCCGGCTGCTCTGCACTTGTCACATTTCTTTGCCTGATTTCTGCCATGAGGCCGGTTTGATCAGCCCCAAATAGCTATTATTGCACGAAAAATAAACGAAGAGGTAGCCCTCTCAGTGATCTTGGTTTGCCTGTTTCCACAGGTGCCCTTTCGATCTCGTATAATCTCGCGAACAGCGGAAGGAGCAAATGCTATTTTCGAAACGACTAGTATCCTTTGTTGGAGACGTTAAGCGACAACGCGTGGACTAATTTAGAGACATAAAGCACTCGAATATAACGAAGCTATACATTTTACTTGTTTGCTGTATGCACCACCATACATATTTCTCAATAAATTAATGAATACATGCATGTTTGTATTTACGTTTTTGGACAAAATGCATTAATATTATGTTTTCAGAACGTCTGTGAATCTAGTTACCAAAGCAGTCATAACATATTGCGTTAGCCTGTAAATCGTCGTGTGTTATAAAAGGAAATCATTCGTTGATATCCCGATCAATACACCGTCGAAATCTAGCGGCATTGATTTGACCACCCGGTCACCACTTTAATCATCTTCCCTGACAACCGATCCCCTTGCCAACAATGTTCACCAAGATGTCAAACTATACCTATAAACCCATAATGAAGATGTTGTTTATATGTAAAACAAGGCAAGTTTGTAGTTTTGTTTTGTTTTGATCGTTTGTTGTAGAACACACACTAGGCAATAATTCTGCGACCAACTGGCGATCTATGAATAATCCAATCCGAACGAAAACATCATAGCATATTCTGGGCACCGACCAACACCGTATAGGGATAGGCATCAGTCAACCGAATCACGATCTGGACGTCACATCCATCGCCCCTAATGAGAAGCAACGCTGTTAAAACCTGTCAGCGTTGCTGGAGTGAGTATAGTTTTCCTTCACTGATATTCCGCACATATCACGACGGGGTACACCAGAACAATTTTCACAGAGTGTAGCCATGTGGGGAATCGACCCGTCGTGACAAGCGAACGCTTTTACCACTGGGCTACCCCCCGCCCGCAGCAATGTTTGACAGGAATAAAACAGTGACCAGAAACTAACGTTTTCGAGACTAATTATAAACATTCTGATCTTTTATTTAAGAATAATTACTATTAAGTTATCGTTACAGTTTTGTTATACCCAAAGAGTGTTTTCAAAACTTCTCCGGGGATTCTCGTGGGATACACCATATGATTTTGGTCAATGCTCAAAACAAACAACATTTCTATAAAAAGTAAAGGCATACAATTTCAATTTTCATCTCAGCGTATATTTTGCTAGCATCTGGCGTGAGATTACATTTAAACCCAAAAGTAAAGTTATCTTTTTGAATAGTCAATGCTGAAAATAAGTTGTACTGGTGTAATGTATGGCAGGTTACTAGGATGATGTATGGTGGATGTACAAAATACCCCATGAATACAATACAAGGAATTTTTAAACAGTCACCGGAATAAATCGTTTTAATAAACTAAGTATTGTGCCTTTTTCGTTTCAAGTAAATACTAGTATCGTCTGGTACATTATATCTGGGGTCCGGACAAGCGGGGTTCCACTGTATTCGGCCTTCAAGTACGGGCTTGTTTGTGTAACATCCCTGACCTCTATAAAATCAATTTCCAGTCACACTGCCTATGTACAGTTTACATCTCCAGGGCAGCAGAGATATATCACAGAACATTTGTGTCAGTTATTGCTTCCAGACATACAATTTTAATCATTTGAGAGAAGAGAAAAAAAAATTACATTCTCTTCACAAGAATTCTTCAAAGATATCCACAAATCGTTTTTTCGCAAAACTCTATCAAATGGCCTGAAAAAAATCCAATTTTCGGAGGCGCCAAGCTGCAGTAAAAATATAACGGTACTGCTCCCAAAACACAAACTGATGCTGATTCTAGCTCACGGAGATACGGTTACCCAGCAACGAGATGCCGTACATGTATCCATTATCTCGCATCGCCACCCAAACAGCTCACTTCTTACAGTGAGAACTATCTATTACAGCTCGCCAGATGACGTAACAGTGTCGTCAAGGCGTTGTAAGCGGTCGCATAACAGTGCCATGTGCACGCCAGACCGACTCACAGTCGGCGAGGGTTTGTCTGGATGTAAGGTGGTATACGGCATGATGCCAACAGGTGCCCTTTTTAACAGATCATCATTGTCTAGACTGATGAAGCAGAAGCTTACCATTCCTACCCTGAAACAAATACATGTATACCCAATATAGCCTACACAGTCTATAATAGATGGTAACACCATGTTAATGCAGTTGGCGAAATTGAAGAGAGTCCATGTGCCGCTAATTCCACGATTTCACATACTCCTGTTTGAAGCCACGTGGGGGGTTACCAGGGCAGATGTGTACCTGGATCATATAGTTCAAACATCCAATATTTGTTTCTAAAGACTTTGTTAATGACATGTGTTTTGAATTTTTTTTTTTAAATTCAATTTATATTGTATTTTCAACTCACTTTCAAACATTTTAAAATTATACCTTGTTTTTGTTGCTCTACATCGGTATGCTATAAACTTGGATAATAAAATAGTTACAAAATTGATTGCTTCACTGTATTTAAACTCAAAGGTATTGATATATTGGCTTCACCTGTTTGAACAGTTCTTCTGCATTCACAGTGACCTTTTGAAATACTGTTATTTCTGGGCTGCTATTTTTATTACATTACATATAGTTTAACAACTTCTTTTGCATTAAATATTTTTATTTCAGGGACTAGATGCTAGTTAAAGGGAGTGTCTATGTTGTGTTTTAGTGTATAATATCGTCACTGTTGTCACAGTAGGGGCTGCGAAGCACGCAGAGACATACATTTAGACATAGCCAATCAACTAGACTGATAGTCCAATAAATAAAGAACTTAGTGTTATTTACAAATATATATCTACAAAAAATATTATAATTGAATAGATACATCCACAATGACACCAGAACAACAATGTAATGGCAGAGGTGATCTAGTCTTGATCAATCATTCTAGACATGATTTGGGCTTCTTTTTGAATTTATTCTTTTGAGACAGACTATCAATCAGCTAACGAGCAGAGTTGGTGTGGATCCCATACCTGGTAACGTATTTAGTATAGCCGTTCTGTACAGCAAATCGCCTACACTTTCTAATACACTTGGTAATACATTTGGCAAAATACGGTGTAATATAGTCTGTGTCACAGCCCCTGAACCACATTATTTTCCCTACTGCCTATCCCTCCCTGCAATGCTAAAGTCCTAAATATAGCAAGTCTAGATTTCCCCAGGTTCAGGAATCACCCAACTCACTGGGGCTCCTTTTCAGTTTAAATGGGTGTATTTGTTACTGTCAACATTTTATATATTCAGGGACTAAGCGTTAGTCTATGTGTAACCCATGAATGTCCGGGTTAGAATATCGATCTTCAGTAAGCCATGCTTGTCGTAAGAGGCGACTAACGGGATCGGGTGGTAAGGCTCGCTGACTTAATTGACACATGTCATCGGTTCCCAATTGCGCAGATCGATGCTCATGCTGTTGATCCCTGGATTGTCTGGTCCAGACTCGTTTATTTACAGATCGCCCCCATATAGCTGGAATATTGCTGAGTGCGGCGTAAAACTAAACTCACTCACTCACTCACTAGTGGAGGTGTAATACAAACGTGTTTTGTCGAACACAGTATTCATTTTTAAGATCGACGACATACGCACTGAAATGAGTTATTGACTGTATCTGGGAGACAGACTATCAGTCATGAGAACAAAATACACTCATATAAACCGTGTCGTGTAGTGATATTCAAGGACAGGGGCAAGTAAAGAACTGGTTAACCTTTTATTCCAACTTGGCTTTCATCCAGACTATGTTGACGGGACAATATAAACAGATATTGATATTTTCCTTTCCAACCATCGACCAATATGTGTCATGTCATGACAGAGTATGCCTTTACCCACTAACCTTAACCACCACAAACACACACACAACATTATATTTGATGCTGTCGTGTATTGTATGCATATCACAGTTCTATACAAGTGGCAGAGTATACAAGATCCGGTATTTCAAACATCACATTAGGTATCCGAAAAAATCTGTAACAACAAATGAAACGGACTGTGATTCAGCCCATAACAAATACGTTTATGTCGAGATAAAAAAGTGTATAAGGAAATTGTATTAATTCTGTTGTAGGGGCTGGCTGTCTTAAACATCGTGGTTATGAATATTTTCATGGGGGATTGATTGTGGCCGAGGCAAGGTCCCAGGGCCGACATGCACAAACTGAAAGCAGTGTAGACTTGCACAAGCCTCTAAGGTAAACATTATTAGTTTAAACGATAATTTCTATATAAATAATAAATAACAGACTGGGGTCCTTAGATGTACTGTCCGCTTATCTTGACTTGCCTCTTAGAAGGACGGAATTACTATACATCGATATTGGCTCAGCATTCAGTGCAGCCTTGGAGCAAGGCTAATAGCAGTGTTGTGGCTGACGTACTATCTATATGTACTGTCTCACAGTACTCTAGTCTATTTTGCCGTTCCTCCCAGCCCCTACTGTAATGCTTTTAGACTCAAACGAAGGAAGTGTATTTGTTAAATAAAATTTAGTTTCTGAATTTTCCGCCCCTTTGGGTTCCTTTTCATTTTAGACCGCCTCCGTGGTGTAGTGGTTAGAGCGTCCGCCCGGAGAGCGGAAGGTCGTGGGTTCGATCCCCGACGTCATACCAAAAGATGTTAAAATATGGTACTTGTTGGTCCCTGCCTCGCGCTTGTCATTAATTGGTACAACAAGGACTGGTTGCCTCGGAGTCAGTATAATGTGTCTGAGTGGGGTATTCATGCTTCACTGCGGCATGGTATCTCAGTGGGCTAGCACTATAAAACAAGCTTCAGTCTGGGCTAGTACAAGCAGCCGCACATACACATACACACGCATGCACGTCGTCATATGAACGAAATATTCTCCAGTACGACGTAAAACCCAATTTCACCTCACCTTTTCAATTTATATGTATATTTGTTTATTTCTTTCAAACTATTATGTTTGCAGAGACTAAGCGTTAGTTTATTGAACATAGCATAGATATGGGAGTGATCAGGGTTATTTACCCAGTCATATACATTGTAACTGAAATATTGC